CCTCGTTCAAACAGCGTTTCTGATGAAGGAGTAGAAAAGTGTGTTCACCGGAAATCGAGATACAGGACGGGCGTAAAGAATTCGGTTTTCGTGCAAAAGTCAGGTATTATAGCTGCTTCCGTGCGAGTATATACTTTCTGACCCCCCAGGGTGTCCCGGCAATTTACATACATACTGACAGCTGAGAGTTTAACATATGCTTCTTTCCCGTTTTAACTTATGTTACTTAGTATGGATAGTCAGACTAAACTTTGAATAAAGTAAACTAATCCCGAAATACATATAGACTCTAGTTTTTTTTTAAAAGGGAAGCTGTCTTAGTAAACCCTCTATACTTATTCAGTGTACGTTTTATGGGTTTAAAAAATTATCACGCGCTCCCAAATAAAATGACATTAGCTGTTTTAGTCACTCTAGAAAGCGCTGCTAAACACGTCTAGAACCCCGATGCTTCCAAATGACTCATTAAACAGCAAGCATTGAACACTATCGTATCAAGCTAACTCAGTGAAAGAGAACACGGAAAGCTACCCTGTGGGTCTTAAAGAGGATGGTTGCCAACCCATTATCAACATAAAATGTAGCCCTTTGAGGATAGAGCATTTGGATCATGGCATTTTTTTCAACGCCCAACGCTTCTAACGCTAGAATCTCATACAAGCTCGCAGTTGAACATGGGTACTTGCACAAGTAAGATAATTTCTAGGGTAATAAAAAACCGGAACTATAAAAAATAAAGAAAAAAATGGATTACCTGCATCAAATTTGAAGCGCAACTGAACAGACGTGCGCCTTCCATTGTATCCACTGTCCCAGCCAACAAAGTGACTGCCCGGTGAGACCTCGACATCTCGCGTAACATTGCCCAGATATGCAATGTTATCCACCAGCTTACCAAGGCCTTCACCCGCGTGCGAAGTTTGCATGGCGCTGAAGCGGTCGTTCACTGTGTCCCTGAAATCAAACTGATCGAGGCCTGGACGACCGTTGCTTCCGAAACCGCCGCCCCGGACGCCCTCTGGCACTGAGTATCCTACGATACCATCTGAAGGGATGCGAATGCACACAGATAATTAAACTACAGGCTTAACATCTGCATGTTACAGCACAAACAGACCACCATCCGATGGGTGAATGGAAGAAATGGTTTAAAAAATATCGGAAGCACAGGTCCCTCATAGACAGAATTGTGGAGCGATTCAGTCAGTCGTAGGACTGCAAATGTGAACGTAAATTGTCTCTTGGCCAGGTTCCCGCCAAACGTGCAAATGGAAATCTCCCGAAGAACCATCAGCATCGGCAATTACAAAAAGTGAAGGAATTTTCGCGCTGCAAGACTATATGCTAAACGCTCGACTTAGAAAAACAAGGATAAATAGTGTAAGGAGACGGCGAAGCAGATATCAAAATTAATTGGGTGAGCAGACTTGTGGAAACT